CACCATACCTGGCAATATATATATTTTCAGATCCTGGGTTTCGAGAAATGTTAAACTGTCTCTTGGCTGTTTCATTGGGCATTCCTGGAATCGTATTTATTTGTTATCACAAATAGATGATAAGTTTTGTGGCATCAGCTATTATATTTACTGTTTCTTTGTAACCGTAAAAAAAAATAACGCAATAAATCATGAGTGGTGGCTGGTCTCTAATCCCAGCACAAGTGCTTAGCATGAGGATTACAGATTAAAACCAGTGTAGACAATTTAGCAAGACCCTGTCTCGAAATAAAACAAGCATTAGACAAGGACATGCAGCTCAGTTTTTGACTAGCACTTGTTTGGTGTGTGTCCAGCCCTGAAGGAACTGTTCAGAGACAATTGAGGAAACTGAGGTTTTTCTTCCTTATCTCAAAATAACTACATTATAAAATACTCTCTGGTGTACTTTTTGTTAAACAGTTCTGGAGAATGTCCTGAGTACCAGGAGTTAGGATAAGCCCTTTGTACCATTACGGTGAGGGAAACTGATGCACTGCTTGCCCTCAAGATGCCCAGGGTGAGTGGCAACAGCAGCTTTTATTAATGTCTGGTATTAGAGTTTTACAAAATTAGGGTTTTGTTAAACCTGCCATAAAAGCTTGTACTTTAGATTAGATACAAACATCATCTTTATTTTATATATGAGGTTGATAGAATTTAATTAACTTCCTCAAGATTATATGGTTATTAAGTGGCAGAGCTGGTATTAAAACCCAGACAGTCTACTTCCAGAGCCTAGCCCTTGTTTAACTACCTGGTGGGTGATAAGTAAACATATAATAATCATTGTGATTATTGGGAGCTGCTGGGTCCCAGTGAAGCATCAGTCACCCACTGACCAACAAGTGGAGTCAGATGGGTAGAACATGCATGCCTTGCTCTGGAACCTGCTGAGAATGACCTGGTTGGGTGGTCATCATGGACAGCTGTCGTGTTTCCCCAGCCAAGCTGAACCTGTATGTGCAGTTACACCTGCTGGCCTTCCCTGCTCCCCACAGGCTCACCCCAAGGGAGGACACTCAAGGTGGAAGTTGAAAAAGCCACATCATGTAGGAGCCATAGTCATTTCCCCACTTACAAACCAGTTTAGAGAACTGAGTTTAAAGAGTGGTCAGGACTCACACACTGTGGAAAAGGAGAGTTGTCTTCTTAGGGTTTGTGGAAACACAGGGAGTATGAGGGCTGAAGGCTTCCAGAGTCTCCCTCAGGCCAGGAAGGTACATCCTGGGGAGGTGGGGAACAACTAAATGAGTCTGTGAAGAACAAAGATTTAGTGGGGGGTGAGTCGGGGCTGGTGGTGAAGGAACAGTAGTAGCAGCCTGTCCAAATGGTTTAAGGAACTGAAAGAAGCAGCACACCCAGAGTAGGCCTGGGGTGGGGGAAGGTCATATGGGCACCACTGATTGGGTGAGCAGCCGGACCAGGTCATCTCATCTGACCTTTAGGCCATGGTAGGACATTTATATCTTATTCTCTAAACCAAGGAAATTCCTTGAATTTAAGATAGTCACAGTGTATTTGTTTGTTAGTGTTTTAAGGCCTGAACTCAGGTCGGCCTGCCTCTGCCTCCCGAGTGCTGGGATTGAAGGCGTGTGCCATCATAGCCCGGCCCTATTTGTTTTTTTTGAAGTTGTGTATGTGTGTGTGGGGTTTGAGCAACATGTAGGATTGGACTTAGGTCATCAGGCTTGGTGACAAGCACCTTTACCTGCTGAACAAGGGTGGCTGGAGCAACCAGATGGCCATCCACTCACCCGGTGTGACAGTGACAGGAGGAGCGGGGGTGTGGGGTTCTCAGTACTCACTTCCCCAGCACTGCCTGCTGTCTGGCCTCCTAGAGGGGGCTTTGGGAGGGCTGTGTAGTGAATTTTCTCATTTCTGTGACCAAAGACCTGATGAATGGTTTAAAGGAGCAAAGGCTACTTCAACTCTTCTTTTCTCAGGGTCTTTGTGTGGGTACCTGGACCCATAGACTTGAGCAGAGCATCATGGGGTAGAAAAGATGCCCAACCCAAGTGACCTCCTTCCAGCCAACTTCCACCTCCTAAGTAAAAACAACAACAAAGTTATATTTGTTCAGTTTGTGGGGGTGGAGGTCAGAGGACATTTTTGAGTTGGTTTTCTCCTTCTACTATTTGAGTTCGAGGAACCAAACTCAGGTTGTCAGGCCCAACCCTTACCCACTAAGCCATCTGATTGGGCCCTCCCGTCTCCTAAATTTTCAAGACTCTCTAGCTAGACATGGTGGCACATCTGTAGTTCCAGTGTTCTGGAGGTAGGGGCAGAAAGTTCAGGAGTTATCTTTAGTTATTTAGTGAGCCTAAGGCAAATTTGAGACTTTGCCTAATAACAGTAACAGAAGGAAACATCAGTGTCACCGGCTGGGACTCAAGTGTTTACACATGCGCCTTTGGAGGGCGTTCTACTTTGAACCTAGGTATAGAGGAGGTTGTCAGGAGGAGAATGTAGGAGGCTGCCCAGGACATCCCTTGAGAAGAACTCCATTATCAGGAGTACACAATGCAGAGACGGTTCTAGAAAGCCTGTAGAAATGTTGATATGAATGTCTGTAGAGGAAGCGGAAGTGGTGGCCATGCCAGATGCTAATCCAGGAAAGTGGTCGTTGGACCAGGAATGGACTTGGGAAGGAAGAGCAGCAGTTCCGGCAGGCCGGATTGAAGGAGGAACGGGAGCTGAGAACAAGCTTCATATTTAGAACTGAATGAATTATCTGAGAATTTGTGCCTTCTCAGGGGCCTCTCGGGCAGTGCCAGGGCCTCTGGTCCCTGAAGTATATATACTTTGAACAGCAGAGATGTAGGTTAGGAACTCTTGTTTTAGTGTTTGAAAGGTCTGAGAAAATGCAAACCACTGGCCTTTCTTCAGTTTCTGGTTGCAGCTCTAGTATGGTGTTCAGCTTTTTTAACTCCTCAGGTGAAGCTAACATGACTGGCTCTCATACCTTGAGAGTTTGGAGAACTTTTTAAATATGGTAGGGTGTTGTCAAAGAACTTTAATAAAATGGGAAATCTCTAGAGCATATTCTGAAATGAATGACCCAGTAGAAGGGTGGATTTAGTGAGTCAGTGGTAGAGTGTTTGCCTACCATCTACATCCCTGGGTTCAATTCTCAGTCTGTCTCTGTTTGTCATTCTGTCAATCCACCTGCACATACACATATAAATAGTATAATCCAGTATTACAAGGAAAGAAGGAGGATGCAGAGAAATGTCACTGAGAAGATTGTGGTTGGCTTCAAAACACTGTCAATCTGGGGTTTTGATCAGAGGGAATGCCTTAGAGCAAGAGAGGCTGTGGAGAGCATGGTCCAGGGGCAGCTGGGGACACAGGTGTGCATGAAGGGATGGAACTCCCTTTGATAGCTTATATTCTCTCAAGGAAAGTGTGTGTGTGTGGTGGGGGAGGTTGAGAGGCAAAAATGTCAGGTGATTATTTTAGAGTAGAAAATGGCCTTATGAAAAAGGTGGCACTATTTTAGGGCATATTTGAAATTATGTTCAGAAGTTTAGAATTGTTAGCCAGTCTGATTGTACATTTGTTTTTCTTCAACCACAGTTAGCCTTGTATTCAGACGTGGGTAACTAAGTGGTTGGGGTCACCTGAGGTTCGACTATCCAAGGGGAGGAGGGTACAAGGGAGTGATTATCACTATTGAGCAATTAGGGGGCTGGAGAGACAGAGTGATGATTAGGTTGGCAGCTTCGCAGTAGTCAAGGTGGAGTAAACTAAAGCAAGCCGAAAAGCAGGGTGGGGTGCTGGAGTGCAGCCCTGAGGGCTGCCTGAGGTGGAGTTTCCTGAGGGGTCAGGAAACAAGGGCGTTGGATATACCCTCCACTTGGACGTTGTAGTTGCCAAGAATGTTGACAGGAGTTGTGAACGGAGGGATGTCTTCTCTGATAGGACAGACTTTTGGTGGGTGACGGAAAATTCTAGTCAATAGATAACAGTAGCAGGACTGAGGGTTTTTCAGAATTGCAAGCAGGAAAGCAAATGGGAAGTAGTTTTGAAATGATGTGAAGGCACCTGTGCTACAGGGACGTGTGTGCAGAGAGAGCGCCCTCTGATGGCAGGACTGTCGGAAGTGTCTGCTTATCTTACTGCATAGAGGGGTAGACAAGGCTCAGAAAGGAGGCTGGATCGGTCCAAGTGTTACACAAATCAAACTGACGGCTAACAATTGAGGATCCATGTGGGTTTGAGGGTGAGAGGAGGACTCCTGGAGCAAGGGAAAGTTGGCGTCATCCTAGCTGACAGCGATGCTGTGCTGTCATTCGTCAGTGTTGTTTTCCCATCTTTATTCCAAGGTCACTGTGTCCATCACTATTGTAAGTGTTTATTCTCCCTGCCACTCCTCCCTGCCTGCACCCAGAGAGCTTCCCACTCTACCTCAGTCTATAAAGTGCCCAACACTTTGGAAAGAGCTCCTTCTTCTGAAAGCAGGGTGATTTCTGAGGCCTTTCCTTTGACTAGCATCTAGTAGCAAGGTGATAGAGAGGCCTGGTCACAGGGTACATACAGAGATTATCAGTGTTGTTTCCTTTGGACAGATGGCTGCCTGGCTTCATGAAGTTTATTCTAACACAGCCACACCCATTTTATAGGTTCTTATTCTCTAGCTGCTTTTAGGCAACAACTGCAAGCTGAGTGTGAGGAACCTTACCTAGGGTCTGGAGAGTATAAAACCCTACTCTCTGTATCTCTCTGGAAAGCACTTGCTACCACTGATGGAGACATAGAGGAGACAGAAAAAAGCATGGAGAGTAAACCAGAGCTCCTCTAGGCAGTGGGCGGAGTCATTGTCGTCTTCATCTTAGTCTCTGTTCTTTCTGTGTCCTGCCACACATTTAAGTTGGAAATGGAATTGCCTTGAAAGTATTAAGTAGTTTTTGGAGCACTTTTAACGGTGGATTTTTGTTGTTGTTGTTTTTTCTCCTTAGTGCTGCTTTTGATACAAAGACAGGACATCGTGTGGCAGTGAAGAAGCTGTCAAGACCGTTTCAGTCCATCATTCATGCCAAAAGGACCTACAGAGAGCTGCGCCTGCTGAAGCACATGAAACATGAGAATGTGAGTTCTCATGTTCTTGCACAGACCAAGGGCTTGGTGTGCACTGCTGCAGGTGCACACACCCCACACTGGGGCTGTCAGGTTGGGTTGTGCTGCTTGAGGATGATGGTGGTGCCTCTCCCCAGAGCTGTAGTTTATTCCAGGATCTTAAGAAGCACTTATTTTTTTTTATTTTAATTAAAAAAAATTATGTATAGTTACTGTGATTTGTGTTTGCCTTCTTGAGTTTATGTGAGTCATGTGGTAAAGGGCCCTTGGAGGCCAGAAGATGTCAGATTCCCTGGAACTGGAGTCACAGGTGCTTGGGAGCCACTATGTGGGTACTGAGAACCAAACCTGGCTGCTCTGCAAGACTAGCCAGTGCTCTTAACTGCGGAGCCATCTCTCCAGCCTTTCTTTTTATGTAACTCTTTATTTTGTGGGTATGTATATTTGCATGTGTGCGTGTGTATGTGATGTCAAAGGACAGCTTGTGGAAGTTGGCCCACTGTAGTCTGTAATTCTACTTTCAGGGATCTGATACCCACTTCTGGCCTCAGTTAGCACTGTGCACATGTGGTTCACAGACATAACATGCAGGCAAAACACCTATATACACAAAATGATAAGAAAGTTTTTTGAAGAAAGATAGAGTTTTACTTTTTATAAGTTTTGTAATTATGTATATGTGTTTGTGTACATGTGGGGATATATATACACTTGTGTGCAGTGCTTAGCAGCACTGTCATTGTATGTTAGATAGGGCCCAGTCGTAAAGGCCCCATACTCAGATATTAGTGGGTTTTGTCTTTTAAAGGTTGGTTGGTTGGTTTGTTTGAGACAGGATCAATCTACTTAGCTCTGGCTGGATTGGAACTGCTGAACCACTCTAACTCCGTTGCTTTGTTTGTTTGTTTGTTTGTTTTTTTAAAAAGCAGGCACATAGTTGAATGTCTCAATTTTCTTTTCTACTGACATATTTAAAGGAAAGATGGGAAAAGACCAGAAAACTTACACTTAATATAGAAATTGTCTCACCTTTCAGATTATGCTGCAGACATTTGTTAGGCACTTAAGATATAGAAGCAGTTCTGCACAGTGAAGAACTCAGACCGTCCTGGGGAGATGATGTCTCAGTGGCTATGAGCTCTTGGTACTTTTATAGAGGTTACCAGCAACTACATTGGGTGGCTCACAGCTGCCTGTAATTCTAGCTCCAGGGGATCCAGTGCCTCCCTCTGGCCTCTGAGGATGCACATCACATGCTCATACACTCTAAATATTTAAAGAAACAAAACTTCCAGCAAGTTTGACCTCCAAAGAGACTAGCAACAACATAACCAGGCTCTTCAAGGCCATAACAATATTCAGTCTTTTATACAAAGACTTCTAATGGTAGCAAATGACAGAGACACGGTCATTATGAGGGTAACCAGCTGAGTCAGCTGGCTTGTTCTTGACTGAACTTGAATCCTTGCTCTCATACACATGCTCAAGGGCTGGTCCCTGAGAGGCAGCCTACCAGCTGCATCCTTAGCTGTCTGCACAGTTAGGATAGAGCTAGCTTGCTTGTCTGCAAGTACTGTATATCTTGAATTTAAAAACAAATCCTCAACACACCCAATCCTTAAGAAGAAATGATGTTAACAAGTCTAAAACAGATGCAATGGGGTAAGCAAGTCAGTCCTCCAGCACACCAGTGGGACTGGATTTGGAAGCTGTCCTCTTTCCACCGCAGACCTGATGGGCGCTGTGGGAGCCCACTGCTTTCCTACTGATTCATTTTTCTGTGTTCTTGCAGGTCATCGGTCTGTTGGATGTGTTTACGCCCGCAAGGTCCCTGGAGGAATTCAATGATGTGTGAGTGAATCTTTTGCATTTGCAACATCAGCTGGAGGATGAGGATGAGCAAGTAGTCCACAGAACTGCTCAACAGTGCTCAGACTTCAGGAGAGTGTTCTGTCCCCACCTCTCCTGGGCTCCTGTGGGGAGCATAGAAAGTAAAGATTATGCATGGTGCACTTTATCACTTTTACTGTCTCAGGCTCAGTGTGTCCTGTTCAGAGTCAGCAATGAGTCCTTATGAAAATTTCAGAGTTGCAAAAGAGGGAGTATATGGAATTTTGACTATAGTTTTTTATTTCCTTAAAATGCCTGTCCACATAGATGTTTCCCTCTCTAATCCCTCATGGATAGGGAGGTGATAATGAGGCTACATGCTGATCCCTGAAAGTTTTGTACTGGGGCAGATGGCAGCCCCTGCATTATGGAAACGATTTCTTCCAGTCTGGTGCCTCCTGGAAAGCAGAGCCTGGGATCCCGTCCCAGCAGCCTGGAGTAGAGAGCCGGGGAAAGGTCTCTAAAACGGAAGGAAGGAAAGGTTGTGCATGGATATGTTGTAGTGGCCAGTCACCACTGAGAGCACCTGGGCATAGGAAACTACAGAATGCACTCAGATGGGAGCAGTCTGGTGATCGCGCCTAAGGTTCGCTCCACTGCTGATGAATGCCTTCACATGCGGGGTGGCACCCTTGTGAGAGCAAGACAGATTCCAGCAGGTGTCCTCTGCTCTACAACAGCCTCCCCACTACGACAGCTTCCCTAGTACCTGATTAACACTGTATTATTTTCAACTTGATAGACTGTAGAATCACTGATGGCTTCTGGGCATGCCTGTGGGGATTATCTTGTGAATTAATAGATGTGGGAAGAGCCATCTAAACTGTGGCTGGGACTATTCTCTTGGCGGGGCATCTGGAACTGAATAGGATAGAGAAAAACAAGCTGAGTAGTAGCGTCTAACTCTGCTTGATTGTTGCTGCAGTGTGGTCACCTGTCTCAGGTTCCTGTGGCTGTGACTCCACTCAGATGAACTGTACACTGGAACTGTGAACTTGAGTACAACCTTCTCCCTTAAATTGCCCTGTCCTGCTTTAGAGACACCTGTGCTGTAAGAGAAGAAACATCTTTTAAACATTTTTATGTCTATGGATCTTTTGCCTGTTTGTATGACTGTGCACCATGTGCATTCAGTGCCCACAGAGGAGGGAGGAGGGTGTCATATCCTCTAGGACTGGAGTTACAGATGGTTGTGAGCCATTGTGGGTGCTGGGAATTGAACTCAGGTCCATTTGGAAGAGCAACCAGTTGCTCATAAGTGCTGAACCCTCTCTCCAGCCCGAAGAAGAAACATCTTAAGCACAGTTACGTTTGGTCCTGTTGCAATTCTGGCATTCCTAAATGGAAAGGATGTTTATTGTAAAAGCCAAACAGAATTGTAGGACATTACTATTTTTCCTGAACTTTCTGTATTAGTCAGCTTTCTTTCTCTGTGACAACATGCCTGAGAACATTACCTTATGTCAAGAGGAAAAGGTTATTTTACCTTGTGGTTTTAGAAGTTCCGGGTCATAGTCAGGCTCATGGCTTTTAGGTATCTGCTAGGGGCGCCAGGTAGCAATGGTAAGGAATGTTGGTATAACAAAAACTATTCATCATGTGGCTAGAAAGCAAAATGAAGAAAAGACCGGGATTCCAGTTTTCAAATCCATATTCCTAATGACCTAAGCCCTGCTGCCCAGAGGTTTCACTGCTCCTAATACCCTTTGACACATGGGGTGGGGTGAGGGGGCAGGTCACTCAGCGTCCAGATTATGGCGCTTCCCTCCCAATGCTCCCAGTGCAAAACCAACTTTTCTCCGATCTTTTTTTTTGGGGGGGGGTGCTATTTAATCTTTTCCCAAAAACAAGCAGGCAGATTTTCACTTGTGTGTTACCTTTATAGAAGGGAAAAAACAGAGGGAGAAGTGAATGACAAAGACGGATGGAGAGGAGGAGGAGAGGCACTTTGGCCCATGTGCAGAAACTCAGCCGCGTTAACCTGACCCTGCAAATGAAAGTTTAGGACTGGCAGTAACTAAGAATGACATGCTGTTCCCACAGCCCTGTCTCAGTGCCAGAACAGAGGCTTCCAAGGATTGCCAGAGGCTCCACACAGTGAGCATAGACCATGGAGCCTGCTGCAAGCTGTGGTTGGAAAAGAGAATGTTGTGGAATCTGAATGGGGAACAAATGCTACTGCTGTGTGTCTGTGATTTACTTTGGAAAATGTCAGTTAGGTTTACCCTGGATTTTTATTGAGGATAGACTTTAACAGGGAAAAAAAATGATTTATGGGCTAGCAAATATTGTGTTTTGGTTTAATTGAGCATCCTGGAATAGAAAATGGACCTGTTTTCTTACATTGAAGAGGTCTTAATGAAGACGGAGATCTATTTGAAGGGTTAAATTTTACTGACTATAATTTTATCCCCATAGGGAAGTCCACCAACTATCTAGTGTCTCCCTAGCAAACTAAAGTTACCTTCATTGACTGAGCAAGTCCATGACTGGGGCAGAGCATCTGTCTTCTGTTAACTCCAGCTAGATTCTAACAATTCTTTTGTGGGGTTTGTTTTTTTCCAAGACAGGGTTTCTCTGTGTAACACTCCTGACTGTCCTGGAACTAGCTCTTGTAGACCCAGACTGGCCTCAAACTCACAGAGATCTACCTGCCTCTGCCTCCCAAGTGCTGGTTTACCACCACTGCCCAACTTGTTTTTGTTTTTTTAAGATTTATTTTTTATTATTTTGTATGTGTCTAAGAGTGGCTGTGTGTGTTTGTACCTGGTAGTTCACATCTTCTGTCTAAAGCTGTAAGTGGTTGTGAGCCACAGTGTGCGTCCTAGGAAAGAAGCCAGTGCTCTTCATCCCTGAGCCCTCACTAGTCCCAGCTCTTCTGTGAATTGAGCAGCTCTCAGGTACTACATGATGAAATGCTGAGTCCCTGCCAGACAACTAGCGTACTCTCCCTAGAAACGGAGAACCTGAGCCTATTAGGAAAGTGTTTTACTGCTGACTTTTGTGATGTTGATAACAGTCAAAATTAGCACCTGTCCAGAGCACCTGTCCAGAGCAGTGCTTATTTCTGTATTCTTCAGAGCCAGTGAAGAGCACACCCAAGAGAACAAACTTTTCAGTACGATTGCAGGGTTTGCAGGGCCACAGCGATAACAAGACTGTCCGGTATTACACCTTTGTGTGTGCCAGAGCCTAGAGCCTATGTCTCCTAAAAACATTTGTGTCCACTAAGAAAAATAGGCAATCAAACAACACCCTGAGAACCAAAGATGAAGGTTGCTGGATGCACAGCAAGCTCTGATTTTTATATGCATTTCCCGTGCTAATTAGCAAAACCTATAATTGCCTTTCAGGTGCACAGTTGACTTTTGTCTATCCTCTTCCTGTGTTTGTGCCTTTGTTTCAAGTATCACTTTTCATTTCCTCATTCAGATTTTTGCTTCATCTCTAAGACCACATATACCTGCCAGAAGGGAACAGTAGGTTGCGCGTTTTGTTTGTGACCAGCAACTGCGGGCACTGGGATGACTTGGGAAATGAGCATATCTAATTTTGACTGCTGTCTGACTTGGTGGGGCAGGTGGCACGTTTATACAGAGGCACACACGGGAGATCACGTTATTGCCTGGACTATTTCATTGGCGTGCATTCTGACCTCATACTGCAAATATTTGGAAATGCAGAAAATTTGAGTAGCTGGTGTTGGAGTCCAGTCCAGAAAGAGCTGCGGCTCTCCCAGCCGTCCTTACCACAGAGGCTCTCTGCCATTTCTTCCCTGTTTATAGCTTCTCATTCCTGGTTTCTTCCTTCCTTCTCTTTGTTTCATTCATTCATTGGTGCGGGAGAATTGTCTATATTCTGTTTTATGTTTATATCATGTTTTAAATAAACGCTGATTGGCCAGGCAGGAGGTATAGGCTGGGAAACCAGACAGGAAGTGGAAATGATGCAAGGAGAGCAGGAGAATTCTGGGGAGGAGGAAGCTGATTGCTCCCACTCCTGCCCAGATCACCGAAGCAGTAGGATGTGAGCTGCCCCACTGAAAAAGGTACTGAGCCACATGGCTAACATAGATCAGAAAAATGGGTTAATCAAGATGTGAGAGTTAGCCAGTAAGAAGCCTGACCTAACGGGCCAATCAGCTTTATAACTTACGGAGTCCAACCCCTTCAATTCATTCATTTATTTGAGATGGGAGCTCACTATGTATCTCAGCTAACAAACTCTTTCCAATTAGTTTGTATTTGAGGTGGGATCTCATGTATCCCAGAGTAGCTTCAGATTTACTATCCGACCAAGGCTGACCTCGATCTCCAGCTTCTCCTGCCTTCTTCCCAGTGCTTAGATAACAAGCAGGAACCACCATACCCGGTCTATGTTGTGCTGGGCATAGAACCAGGGCTTCATGCATGCCAAGCAAGCACTCTGCCCCTATCAACTTAACCACACCCAGTCCCCTGCTTTGTTCATGAAGAGACACAAGAGCTTCTAAGTGGCCCTCATTTTGATGAGAGCTGGTGAGCAGCTGACCACTAGGCTGGCCTTGCCCCTGTGGAAAGTGCAGTTCCCCAGTAAGCTTGAACATTCTGGTTCAGTTAACTAGAACTGAAGGGATCAAGTCAGTGAGGACTTCAGGGTTTGCTTTTATCGATTCTATTTGGTGTTTATATCTACCTCTACCAGACACAGCTCTCGTCCTTGAGGAAGACAGCAAACACACATAGTCTATAATCACTGTGTTGAGATTATTGGTGAAGAAAAGCAAAATTTAAATGAGCACATGTTTTGCAGTGTGGTAGATTTGGAGAGCACCCCCCCCCACCATGACCTGTCTCTGTACATGAAATGACCTCGTGTGACTCACTTTCCACTTCTGTCTCTGTCCTTGTGTTCTTCCTCTAATACGGACAATCAACTGTATCCCCAACAAAACCTCTGTGTGGTCACCACCATGGCCAAGC